GGCCTTGCTACGGCACGGATCACTTTGTGTGTTGTTCGAGCCAGCCCAGGATGCAGCAGCGATGCTGTATTTACCTGTGGGTATCGTCTGGGGGCTCGAGAGCGCTGTGCACAGGGCAGTCGCTGCTCACTGCTATATTTGTCTGTCTCAGTGTGCCCTCCCTGACACACCCTGTCTTCCGAATGATATTTCTGCATGCTCAAACGCCCCCGAGCGTGACGCCCATGCTCCCAGCGCCCCCTGGAGGGCTCTGATTGGCAGCTCTGTGGCATCCCCACTGACTGAAGAGAACTAAGCTAAGGTCTATGCCGATTTCGTAACAAGTCTACCTGGGCCCCGATTTCCAGCGCTGATCCCCAGTATTTCACACGTCCGTCTTCACCTTCATTCCTTCTGCCAGCGGAGGAGAGTCCTGTGAGTTCAGTGTGTCATAGAGATGAAAAAAGTGGGAAGAAGAGGAATAATATGAGAATGAAAAGACATAAGAGAAATATCCAGGAGGATATCTCACAAAATAAACGGAGGATGTCTCAAAAACACGTAAACATCTCTGTCACAAATGTTTTTAATCTCATAGCTATTGTAGAATTGAAAGACCCTGTTAATTATATCTCAGGTACATACAACTCCTCACAGTGTCTTAATTCTTAAACACCCTACATACAGCACATGGATGCACGTTATACATCATGCCAATATGTCATTTCTCGTTATGCACCAAATATCTTTGCACGTATGACGTTTTTTGCAAAATTTTTGCGTGAATCGATATTGTCCGGGAAATCCCCATAAGGGCCGTCACAGGCTGGAAAATACAGACAGTGCTGTACTCAGAAAACAAGACTAGTTCTGGCTGGGTGGGGTTTAGCCGTATTGGATTACAAAAAGCTATTAGTTCTACTGTTTAAACCTCAGGTAAACATACCCCCGGACATATTTTAACATTGAGTATCGGAGGCTTGTATTTAATTAAAGTAATACATTTTACAGAACTGTATAGCAATTACTGTTTACTGTACTATAATGCAAATCATAATGTAAGACAATATATATGTAATAAAAAAGAAAATAGATGATAAATAGTACATTATAGAAAATAAAATAGGTCTGTGACATCACAATGCATCTCTCACATACCTTGTCCAAATGGATCTCCGATATGCGTTGTTTCGTTATAATTCACACTTGTAGAGACATAACTATAGTGTATATCAAGGACCCCCCCTGCCTTTGCACAGCCTCCCCCACGCACACTTATGCAGACACATACTAGTGCAGTACCATATATCGTTTCCGCATCATCATCGTGATGTCCACACGCGGAATAATCCATTGCAGCATAAGTAAAGCAAATTAAATCAAGCATGTCATGCTACAACATTTTTGCTTTTTTGATACAAAAGAAAAACGTGCATGGTTTTCATTTTCCATGACTAATTTACAAGATAAGTCTGTTTGATATAATTTATTCCAATTTAAGGGTTTTTGGATACACAGAGTTTGTTGCTAGTGAGTGACATGCACAGCGAATCACTAATCACAATGGGCGATATGCGATAATAATAGACATCGCATGTTATGCACATGTAATTCTCACATTGCAAGAAGTGCAATAGTGAGCTGGGTTGAGATCAGGCTATTTGATACCTTAATATTGTCCGGACCGCAGTATACGGTGTTTTCAAAAACAATGTTATTTTGCAATACATTTCCGGTATTTTGAAATCTTGGTGATGAGATTTGCCCACGGAGGGGTTTAGATTTCACTGAAACATGTTTTACTCTGTCATAGGAAACAAAGCTTAGCAAACTTTGCAATTTTAATGATTATTCCTTTTCAAGATTATGTTAAAAAATTTGTTTACTATTGGTGCTTTTGCATGAATTTTGCTTTGGTCCTCTGAGCCAATTGTAATCATTTCCATCCTTGCTGTTTAAATCACTCGAGGAGTTGGTGAGAAATTTATTTTGAACTCCTTTGCTTTATAAATATTGCAATATTTATTGCAAAGAAAATCACACTGCGATATCCAAAATTTTCCGACGCCATGCAGCCCTAATGCATAGATATGTGATGTTCTGACAATATGATCCACACACACTAAAATGATCCATGAGGTTCAAAATACCCACAAATAGAGGAAACAAAAATAGCTGAAGTCTTTTTTTTCTTCAAAATGAGGTTCACATCCCAAATGTAAGGAAGGGGTGCCCCTCCCCCCCCCCTCGCCCCCACATCCTCCGGATTTAAATTACTTTACCCGCAGCCAGCACTCCAGATTCACTCCTGTATGGATTCAAAAGGCCTGAACTATCTTGTACCATGTGACACATTTCAAAGAAAGTGAGGTACCGTGCTCTATGAAATTGGTCTCATGTAAAGATCAGAATATATTCACTGCCCCCCCCCCACCACCACCACTACCTTATTGAAATTCATAAAAGATCACGTACATACTCGGAGCGAAACTGTGTGTTATAATTTATGTATTAAAAAACAGGGGAACTTTCCACTCTGAGTTGGAAATCTTGGTTCAGATGGAGACAACTTAGAAGCCCTTTTATCTAGTTTGTCTTGACTGCTTTCTTTTAATAGCATTTCTGCCTCATTTAATCCCATTTAATCCTGGATTGTTTGAGGTGAACCCCCCCCCCAACCCACAGTGCTCAACAAAACCCATTGGAAAATTAAAAAAAAAAAAAAAAAAACATTGAAAGATTCTTACTGGGACAGTCTAGAGGGTGACCTTGCCACTTAACCATCATTATAATTCAAACAGAACAGAGGAGCCACAGACTAAAGGGATTAAATGACATCTTTCCCTCCTGACAGTTGTTAATAGTGTCTTTTGTACCTTGGAAGTCATTTAAAACAGGGATTACAAAGTTAATGTTTTATTCAGAAATATGTTGATTTTATCAAATGATTTTTTTTTGGGTGTCCCCCTCCCTTGCTCAGGTCAGAGGATATTGGCACTTCTCCATTTGGTCTTGTAAAAGGACGAAAGCCACCCTCTGTGAGCCTTTCATGCACTGAGTGGTGAAGGTAGTTCTTGTAATTTCTCGATGCACTGGCTGTGGTACAGTGACAGGCTGCCCCAGAAAACCAGTAACACTGCGATGTGAGTCATTTTAAGAACCCTCACCTATCATGTCAGTGAATTAAATGAAAATTAGTCTGCGGCACAATGAAATTCTGCTTCATTTTGCACCATCCAAAACTTCTTAACAGTTTCGGCTGCTTCAGAATATCACCCCGTTCCATCCAGCTGTCACCCATGCTGTAACTTATCCGGTATATGACAAAAAAGCCGTGAAAGTCGCATTTGCACTTCCCGCATCCGTGCCTGACGGAAGAGTAGTTCCCATGGAGCAGCAGTGAAAAGTCGCCGTCTGTAAATACTTTGGATTTGGCATGTGGAACTTTCTCATTTCCGACGACTTCAGGGGGCCACATTTCCAGGCCCTTTTCTCTGGCTCCACCGAAAGCCCTTTAAATCAAGAGGGGAAACCAGAACAAAAGACAGCTTCTATGTTTGCGTTGCCTAGGTGCCGGTGTTACGGTGGCAGGAGGTGAGACTCCCACACTTGGTGGAGGAGGAGGGGCGGGGAGGTGGGCCCAGTCTGGGCTCTTCAGGGCTTCATCCATCACAGGAAGGTCTTTGTCCCATTTCAAGATTCAAGATCTTTATCGGCCATGCGTAACCGGCAAACTGGGATGCGCTCTCAATCAGCCACACTAAACACAGTGCAAAACAATACAAGGCAGTGCAATATAGTACAGACAGTGTAAAATAATCATTCCTTACAAGAGTAAAACACACAACAACTGTATATTATATCAAAATTGAGTTTTGAGAATTGATCGAAATCGAGTCTCTTGGGCTCTGTTTTATCTTGTGGCAAAATATCTATGTTCAGCCATGCTCGGTTTTGAAGAAAACACTATAATTTACCTACCTATTACACGTACGGGTGAACAGTCAAAAACTACGAAGCCCTTTTTCTTAGTCTTAGTTTCAGCATAGTTATTTTGTCTTGCCTTTGTAGAGCTGAATACAGTGCAAAATGGTACAGGTGGTTCAAAACAGTGCAAAAACTAAACAAAATGCTGATACAGTGGTTGATAAAGTGACTGATAAAGTACAGTTTCAGGGCTATAAAGTCCAGGTGCCATGGATGTCACTGTCACTGCCACGGTTGTTGGAAATGCAAGTGGGAGTGACACATGTTTCAGGTGGGCAGCATTCTCCAGCAGTCCGACCGCTCATTAGCGCTGTAATTCCATCTTTTTGGTTTATGCACCACCGGGATTATGGGTAACGAATAGCATCCTGTCACTGCGAATAGCACGCCGTGACGGGTCGGTGTCGCACTTATAACCAGGTATTTCACAACAGCTTCCAGTGGCTGGTGTTAGGAGAGCTACTCTCAGGATTTTATCTGATTATCTTCACCTGGAAAAGTCAGAGGCACTTGGAAGAAACATGCCGAGGAAGAAAAGCAAGGAAAGAGCGTAGCAGGCAGAAGTTTGGCGGAAGCGGAGAAGTAGCAGAGAGTTTGGGGTTCACCCAGGAGAGGATGATAACGTTTGAATATTCATGCTGGAGGGATGGCTGGGAGGAAGCTTGGGGTTTTTCACACCTAGCAGACAAAGACTTTCGTTTCTTCTCATCACGAGTCTGTTTTCAGGGAGCCCCATCCCTGGCAGCTGCCCCCTTATGGTTTGGAAGGATAAAAAGGCAGCTTGTTTCTACAGGAAGTCGGGGAAGTGATTCACGTTTATGATAAAAAAATGTCCGATTTGGCTAAGAAAATTAAACTTAATTAAAGAAAACCCAGGACGAATGCAGGTGGAGCTCTTATCACCTCCGGGGTCCTCCTCCAATTTGAAGGTGGATATCTCCTGCCTGAGTTTTGTGTTTTGTTTTTTCTCATGCCCCCCCACCTCCCGCCTTTCCCCCCACCCCACCCCACCCCTCCAAACCAAACCGGTGCAGGCGCCAAGGAGGTGAATGCCAGCGGGAAGACGTTCACGGTGAAGAGCTCCGTCCAGCTCCAGGTGGACCGCGATGATGACGGCGTAGCTTACACGTGCCGGGTGGACCATGTGGCACTGGCGTTGTCGCCGCAGCAGGCCACGGAGGTGCTGGAGGTACACTGTGAGTATCTGGTGCATATCGCACATGTGGCACGGACATGCAGAAGGGAATAGGGTCTATCACCGTGTAAGTGCATCCAGGGTCTGGACACGTATTCAGGGCCAATCAGATTCCATAAAACTGAAAATAAAAGTGAAGTGAATGACCAGTGTTGGGCTTTTCAAGCCCAGAAGCTACAAATCCAGACCAAGATTTTGTTTCTACCAACCAGCTGAGCATAAAGAGTCACAGTCACAGAGTACTCAGCTGGTTGAGAGAAATAAAATCTTCGTCTGAATTTGTAGCTTCTGGACCAGAAATGCCCACCACTGTGAATGACTGTGTTCAGCACCTGACTTTTCTCCACCCCAAAATGTCCAAACGCCTCTACATACCATAACTACTACTACTGGTCCCAATAATAATAATAATAATAATGACTGTGTGCATGTGTGTGCATGACCACCTCTATGTTCTCCATGCAGATGCCCCTCGGGTGGAGATCACGCACTCTGCAGTACACCCCCAAGAAGGCGATTACCTAAAGCTGGAGTGCGTCTCCAAAGGAAATCCATCGTAAGTAATGATTAGGCCAAGAGTAGCTCCCCCTAGTGGGAGCAATGTGCCACATACAAGGTACACAAACAACGGGGTGGGGGGGCGTCATACCCACAGCGAAGCTTGCTGTTCACACTCGCCGCACTGTCCCGCGGGAGTGTGTCTGCAGTGGAGATGTTGGCCCTGATTGATGTCTTGAGTCACGTTGATCAGATACCATAAATTGGAAATTAATTACAAACAGCATCTGCCAAACATATTTCATCTTCACCCAGCCTTTTCAGATGGTATTCCATAATCCCACAACATATTGCGAAATAATAGTAAATCTTATTTTAATATTTAAGATGGTTTCCTTAATTACTGGCGGCTTATTGTAGGGACAGATAACACGGAGAGTCAGTGATTCCCCCAGTGCCTTAATGCTTTGGTATTTTTGTGTGTGTTTTTTTAATCCTTCCCAAAAACAGCATTTTCTGTCATTGACTGTGTTTTCTCTTCAGTGGAGGAAGTTTTTGAATAAGTGACTTTGACATTAATACTTTGATGGTCTTTCTTCTGTGGTGCTGTTAAGTGTGTCTGAACAAATTAGGCCTCTGTCACAGCAGAGCTGTGACACAGTGGTAAAGCTAAGGGTCAGGTTTCATAGCTGTACGTCAAGCTCAGTTATACTCAGATTTTTATTTATTTATTCATTTTTTGTCTATGGTCAGCAAACTATTTCAAAGGTTAAGATGAGTCAATTGTCATTCTTTTATACAGTTTAATATTTAGGGGTATAGAAAACATTGAACTTGTAAGACTTCCAAGCTTCACAATTGTCCACAATATTCCCAATTTATTTGATAATTCTCCCTTATCGCCACACCGTGGCACTTAAGTTTAAAGTTTATTGTCATATGTACAAAGTACAGCGTACAGAGCACAATGAAATTCTTACTTGAAAACCCCTCCCTCACAGACAAAACATAATGCAGGTAGTTAAAACTGTGTGCAAAAAATTATGCACACATACTTGTATATTGTCCTGAATTGTCCTGCATGCCAACCAAGACAGATTCCTTGTATGTTTAGCATACTTGGCAAATAAAGATCTTTTGGTTTCTTTGAAATACTTTGAAATACTTTTTGCATTTTATCTAATATCTGTATCTTGTTCTAGAGCACCGGTTACCTTTGACCCACCCTCACTCATTTTTGAACACGTCCATGTCTTAGACCTGACCCAGTCCTCTGGACGAAGGATGGGAGCGAACTGCCTGACATCGACCGCATGATCGTGGAGGGCCGTGAACTGACCATCACGTCCTTGAACAAAACGGACAACGGCACGTACCGCTGCGAGGCCAGCAACCACCTGGGCACCAGCAGCGCTGAGTATGTGCTCTACGTGTACGGTACGTTCTTCACAGCCATGACAGGGATGGCGGGGGAGGGGGTGCATCACCTGCCAGTCTTATATACCTTCTAGAGAACTTTCTGGAGCTCCACAAGATTCTGATCAAGGCTGAGAGGTTCCAAACCACCCATCGCTAGCAAGTTGTCTTCCCACTCGCATGCTATCTTAGCGGTATTCCTTCCTTTGGTGGCTTTTGTTGGCATATAAGCTCATGGGGAAGCAAAAGGAAGCAGTATTTAATGGTACGGACAATGGGTGGCCGCAAGATAAGTTAATCCAGGGACAGCAGTGGAGACAAGGGATAAAGAGACTCACTGTCAAAGGAGACAAATCGCCCAGGGCTACAGATAGCATCCGTTACGGGGCAGCTAAAGACGGCCGAAAAGGGATGGATCAAAATAAGGCCAGATTAAGGAGTCTAAGGACGAAGGAGCTGGATGGAGAGAAAGGGGTTTGTCTGTGAGCGAAAGAGCCAGGGTAACAAACAGGAGAGATTATTTGCATCAAGAGCTCAGGCAGGAAGCTTCTTAACGGTCGACAGGTCTCATGTTCGCCCTGTTTTTTTGGTTTTATTTTTTCTGTAATACTCTTAAAGTCAGTAAAAGAGCATTTGACCTGCCCCCCCCCCCTCCCCCCGAGTGGTGGAAGCAATTGTTGTCTCGCCTTGGGAATCAGGAAGAGAGCAGTCTGCACTTGGGGCTGCCATTTCAGGAGTTTTATGCGTCTCTAATTGAGTGGTGTCAGGCTGCGCCAAGGGCAAAGGAATGAAAGGATCCCCTTGTCTGAGGAAAAGGCCACCCCCCCCCCCCACCAAACCCCCAGCCTGGGCCAAGCTGGGCCAAACAGCTAGCAGCCAGATACACGACGGCAGCTTCACCGCCAACTTCCACTTTCACTTTCATTATTACTTTGGCGGCTTATGTATTTATTTGTAGATTGTATTTACAAACATGGCAGGTGTAGTTCTGGTTACAGCAGTGACGGCTACATTGCTGATAAAGCCCTTGTGTTTAATGACTTTCGCTTTTGATACAGAAGCACAGAAGTCATAGAATCTAATTAAATCTTTGCCATAATTAAAAATTTGGATCAATACTGAACCCTGAGAGTTTACAACAATCCTGTTGTGCTGTGGCAGTTGTGCCCCACCCCTAAAAAACCAGAAGGTCCAAATGTAGATTATTATATCTTTTTTAAAAAAAATAATAACACCCCCTTCAACCTCACTGCTCTTAACAAGCGTCTTTATTAAAAATCTGTCTACCACTAACAATTAATGGCCACCATGAAAGTATGCATAATAAAAGTTACTGCCTCCTATTACAGCATAATTGCCCACAATGCACTTCAAACGCACCTTGAGGCTCCCTTAGAAATTAGAGGCTTTGTAAAATTCATGATTAAACTGATAATTGCCTCAAACACCCACGCAGCATAGGGTATTCTTACTTTGCATGATGTCACACCTCAGGGGTTGTGGGAGTAGGTCTCCCTCAGCAAGGTCTGTGCTTATGATTACATGCATCTTCTGAGTTTCGTCCATTTAGCCTAAAAACATACTGATCAGCTGAAGCGGGTCCATGGGGTGGGTTCAGCCCTGCCCCTCGCTGCAACAGACCCCCGGATTACCGTAGGAGCTGTAGAGAACTTCTAGGAAATTGCCAAATATGTACAGTACCAGTCAAGAGTCTGAACACACCTGGTTTCAGTGCTTTTGTCTCTGTTTAAGCTACGTTATTCACCTTATAGTAAAATGCTGAGGTAATACATGCCAAATACTGCAGTAACCAAGAGAAGTGTTCAACATCTCAACATCTTCTCAAATTTTAGGCTCCTCAAAATACCGCCCTTTGACTTTGATGGCAGCATTGCATACAGTACCAGTCAGGTCTGGACACAGCTAATCGAATGGTATCAACTGGTAGTTGTGTAGCATATGAAGGTCTCACAAAATTACTCTTCTAAAGAACAAGGACTGTCAAAAGCTCCATTCAGGCCCAGTACATCCACTTCAGAGAATCCCGATTCGGCACCAGGCCCCAGAACAGACTGGACATCTTCTCACAGGTATAGCAGATGAAGAGGCGAGGAGAGATGGCAGAGGGCTGAAATCTGGGGAACTCAGACACGTGGATGAATAAGGGCCTCATTAGCTGCAGCGGGAACGGTGGAAGCGCATTTGGCTGAGGTGAACAGATATTCATCAAAGCCAGAGGACGTGTTAACTGAGTCCGTCCCGGCGATGAACCTAATTCGCTAATGACACGAGCGCTGAAAGGCAATAAATGTCACCTGAAGTTGTGTGCCGGGCAATTTATCACCATTTTCAATTTTAATTCTAATTTGGTAAATGTAGCCGGGCTGGAGCCGGCATGACGACGGGGAGATACATGATAAAACGCACTGGGCGACGGCGGGGGCTGATGGATGGTGCCGTGGAATTACACCTGGGACCTCGGCCTCATCCGTTAATGCGGCATCCCGCAAATGGATGTTTAATGGCCACGCACCCCCAGCAACAACCCCCCCTGCCCCCCCCCCCCCACACTCCATGGCGGTGCCTGCCGCTCCCCTGAGGCAGGTGTGCACTGCAAGGCCACAAAGTCCACATCCCACTCACATCCACACATGAGAGCTTCTCCCGCTTTCCATTTTTGGTCCACCTGCGCTGGTTTCATTAAGTGCTCAGCTTCCAGCATTAATTAACAAAGAAAAAAAACACACATTTAAAGTACATAGCTTCTCCAAAGCTGATGAAAATGTCAGGCCAGCGTAGTAACAAGGGTAACAGAAGGCCTTAATGATGTTGATTCCATAAAACTGACAAATTTCCGTGTGTAGAAAGGTAATTAAGTGTCGCAGAGTGAAAATACACTGCATGAATTCATTATTCCCCCCTTCAGTGACAGAACCCACACCCTCCCTTCATTGCCGATTATCTCACATTTTAACACTTTGCCGACGTTTTACGATGCCATCTTACATTGTTTCTTACTGTTTTTTTTTTTCTTAAAAGAAAGCTACTGTAATTTCCATTAATTTCCTTCTGCTTGATCCCAGAAGACACATCTGACAGTTTAGCATTTCTGGCCATTTCTGGCACAAGTTATGACTTTTCAGGCGGAAACAGGAACCCGCTTTTGCGAGAAACTCATTGGGGGTGCAACATTTGAGCATTAATTGTGCAAAATGTTGAGAGCGGAATATTGATATACCATCTGGCCAGCCGCTGCTTGCTGTGTTATTTTTAGCTTTAGTGATTGAGCCATATTCAGTTATTCCTGAAAGATGAGAACAGGTGATGTATGTCTACTGTCCTGTACTATATACTCCATCACCCTCATGCAGCTACCTAACCACCTAACAACACCATGCTGTGTATATCTGTTTTCAGAAGGCAAGTACACTGAATTTTAATGCTGTTGTTTGTATGTTTATTGATTTTTTTTTGTGCATTTTAACTGAAATTAGGATGCTGGATATTTTGGGTAAACCATGACATAACTTTTTGTTCACCGTTATTTTACTTTACATTATGGCATGTCTCATTGTTACCTTTCACCTCACCAGTGAAAAGCAATTCCCATTTATTCCATTTTCATTTTTCAGTATTTCCCCCTTGTGTTACTTTTGTCTGTGTTTTATTTTTATTTTGTTTTTTTGTCTGTTTTCTGTTGTGTATGTCCCATCTGCCAGATGTCCCCACTACAATGCCGCCATCCTCAGCACCCCCCACCCAATCCACCAACTCAGACACCACTGCTTGCTTAGATACCCACGCCAACAAACCTGCAGCTACTGGCATTGTGCGAGGTAGGGCACCATGTCATCGCCAGTCTGTCTCACTTTCCCCCCTTTTCCTCTGAGGTACAGCACCACCCCACAGTCCCTTTTCCTCTGAGGTACAGCACCACCACACAGTCCAGTCTCACTTGTCCCCTTTCCTTCTGAGGTACAGCACCACCCAACATTCCTGTCTCACCTTCCTTCCCCCTCTGAGGTACAGCACCACCACACAGTCCAGTCTCACTTGTCCCCTTTCCCTCTGAGGTACAGCACCACCCAACATTCCTGTCTCACCTTCCTTCCCCCTCTGAGGTACAGCACCACCCGACATTCCTGTCTCACCTTCCTTCCCCCTCTGAGGTACAGTACCAACCTGTGTACCTGTCTCCCTCCCCTGGAGCTCTGCCCTACATCCATCTGCTAGTTTTCTAGAAAGATGCCTTTAAACTAGGCTGCACTAGTGCTTCTCTCAGCTCCCTAACTCAGTTCTAGTCATCTAATTTCCTTCAGCCTGTCTTCAATGACAAGATAAATCTTGAATGTGGTTTCTTTCTAAATAAGCCCTGTTTCTTGTGCCTGGAAAAGAGTACACCTGCTCGTCTACATTCTCCTCTCCATTCTCTCTCTCTCTTTCACGTTCTTCCAGTTTTTTTTTTTACTTGACAGCATTTGGCAAGAATTTTCCCAAGTGGGGTTTTTATATTGAACAGTTTTTTTGTGATTTCAGATTCCTCACACATTCCGCATGTGCCCTATTCACACTACTCTGAACTTAAGAATTGTACTTTAACATCGTATTCCAACCCTGGCCATCGAGGTAGGTATGAAAGTGCCCCATCCCCCTCAGCACAGTATCCTCCCCCCAGCAGAGGCAGGGCTGATTCTAGGATTTTCTAAGGTGGGGGTCAAAACAGGGCCCATAACTGAAACAGAGGGGTCAATCTTATCGTTAGGCGTTGTTATGTTTTCAATTGATGAGTGACAGGGGAGGAGGCAACCTGGGGACCAATCAGCTTTCAGCCGAGGCCAGTGCCCCTGTGGCTCCACCCCTAAGTAGAGGTGATGAGAAGGCAGCAGCATCAGTGACAACGAGCCACAAAACTATCAGGTCTTGTTTAACCAAAACCATGTGGACTGTGGTGAAACAAACAACTCAAATGAACATGGTTGTCATTTTGTCATTTTGAAAACCCAACATTAGCTGCCCTTGATGGTGGTCAAATTACCCACAATTCATTTCACCCAGATCGCTGCCGGGGTGTGTCGATACCGGTAAACATTCGGCTATCAGCGGGCCATGCTGCCCAGTGCGCGAGCCGACGGAAATTAGTCATAATTTCCCAGAAGCCCTGCAAAGGCTGACGAATGTCAATGGAACACGCCCCCTTTTTGTAGATCCCCAGAGTGCATTTTCATGGCTTGCAGATTAGCTGTGACCTTAGCAGGCTGAAAGACTGGACGAGGCACCAGGGTTTCTTAGCACTTTCAAATATTTATGATTCTCCTTTCATAAGTGGCACACATCCGCCTTAGACCTTTTGGCCATTCCACCTAGAGAATAATTTCCTTTTAAGGGATGGTGATTAGTTACGCCTTACTTAAAAAAAGATAGAGGAGAGAAAACTTTTTTCCCCTAAACCTTCTGTAAAGTCAGCCCTGCCTTAAAAAAGGACAACATGGAGGAACCCTGCAGAGAACTGGAGGCTGGGAACAAAAAAACGACTATGGCGGCGGAAGGGCGTTATCCAGAGAAGTTTGTGTCATTTCCAAGGACTTCGCTTGGCTTCTTTAATCTCATCTTCTGTAAATGAGGGATTGCAGAGAAAAACACTTGAGAGAAACATTAGGAAAACAGTTTGGCTTTGAAGTCGGCATCAGGGAAAGGTTTGCTGCCCTGTTGGGGTGTCAGCCCATCCACAGTGCTCATGCACAGTGTAAACGGCTTGCGTTATAAGGAGAGGGAGAATTTTGCGCAGGCGGTTTGATCTTAATTCGCAGAGGAAGCATTGAGAGCATGTTCTGGGGCCTGTTGAGGACGTGGCTTGATGTGACTTCTCAGTTTCCTCAAACTTGCCGTGACTCAATGTACATCATCACTCGGACCGAGTAACTAGCAGCGGAAGAGTGATGGATGGATCGGGGCCCAGCGGGGGCTGCCGTTTCAGAAATGGAAATTGAAGCTGGATCGTGAGCATTCTGAAGCTGTGACCTGCCTTGTCTGCACTTCACAGTGCCGGTTCTGGACACCGGCGTTGATAGCTCACACACCAGTGGGGTGGGGCGTGTTTAATCACAGATCACCACAGTCAGCGTGAGGCTACCAGTTAAACTGAAGAGTCCAAACTGGTTGTCAGGTTGTCTTTTGGGATGGCTTTGGAATTTTGTTCCTAGCATCATCCTCTACATCCCCCCTCCACATCTCCAACATCTGGGGGTCTGCTCTTGCCAAGAAAAGCTAAGGCATTACAGCTGCTGCTGATCAGGTGCCACCAGGACCTTTTGGGCGTGGCCTACAGCTGGGTTCCTCCCCATGGGGACCCAGAGACTCAACTGCACCAGTAAACATCACACTCTTCATTTTTCTCATGCTTTTCTGCATCATCCACGTTCCATAGGCCCTGCCGCCCCTGACCTCATACTTTGCTTTACTCTAAAAAAGTTGCCAGTGAGGTCATCACAGAGACCATTGGCTATATGGGGAGCACTGCAGAACAGCAGGCTCTTCGGTCTGTCTCAGACCTTCCCAGTGAGAGGCAGACCATTCCCGGGTCAATGCAGTGAGCAGGGGCGTGGCTACAGGTGGGCATGGGGGGGCAGCGTCTACCTAAATGGACCGCCTACAAGTCAACTACATGTACCGTTGCCACCCGCCAGATATAACTTCGTATTGTATGTATCTTTGTACGATTATTTTCTTTGTAGAAGTACCTCTCCCCTGGCCTACATTGTTTTACTTTCACGTCATGGTCAGACTGCCTCCTTGGTGCCCCCCC